TATATATATATATATAAAATCCAAAGTTTGAACACTCGACAGAGATAAAAATGACGAACAATTGCTCAATCGTGAAGGGAAAAAACGATTAAGAAAGCTAAATCGGTCGAATGAATTGATTGAGTAATTACTGGCGCTTCCTCTTTAATACATTTCCCATTTTTTTAGACTTTAATTCTTCATTTAATTACTACTATATATGATTCCTTTATTAATATTATTAAATTACTGTAAAATTAAATTTAATTTTGCATTATAGTTGGGCGTTCAGAAGTGATTTAGTATTACTTTCCAGTTCTACTCATTCGAACATTTCGATTAACATAAAATTAACTATCTCATACTTTTATAGTATTATGCCAAACTACTAAAAAACATCTTTATTTAGGGATATCTTTTGGAATCTTCTAGTAATTACCCTAGATATCAGCTTCTACTAGATATCTTTCAGCCCATCATATATTTCTCGATCAGTCACTTCCGAACTCTACTTGTTGTTGATGTGTTAGAATTGGTCCATTCTTCATAAGCATCATATTGACAGCAAGTAGCTTATTGGCCCTAGACCCCATTAGACTTTTATAGAATTGTACTATCTCTTCCCTAATAGCTACTGGTTTTGTAATAGTAAAACCTGATAGAGCTTGTATTTTAGTGATTTGTTTCTTTTGTTGCTTCTCTTTTATGATAATTGAAAAGAATTTATTATTGGAATCTCCTAAATTGATCCACGTTGCTCGAACCTTCTGCTGTAGGATCCCTTCTCCACAAGTAACCATGTGTGACGACCCGGCCAGTCGTCTCATGAGTTACCGCTTTGTTTTCTCATTTATGCTTCTTTATGCTTTGTTTATCCGTGTTTTGTGGTATCGGGTTGGTCGGATCGAATCCGGAATGATTTTGGTAAGGTTTGAGACATTTAGTCTCTTTTAAGGAAGTTTAAGTTGGAAAAGTCAATCAAATGTTGACTTGTGTGTTAGAGGGTTCGAATGTGAGTTCCGATGGTTCGGTTAGCTTCGGGAGGTGATTTGGGACTTAGGAGTGTGATCGGAATGAGTCTTGGAGGTTAGGAGTAGATTTATGCTTGAATTGGCGAAGTTGATATTTTGGCGATTTCCGGTTGGTAGGTGAGATTTTGATATAACGGTCGGAATGGAATTTCGAGAGTTGCAGTAGTTTCGTTGGGCATTTGGGATATGTGTGCAAAATTTCAGGTCATTCGGACGTGATTTGGTTGGGTTTTTGATAAAAAGTGGAATTTCGAAGATTTTAGAAAGTTTGGCATCAATCCGATGTGTTTTGGGTGATTTAATGTTGTTTGAGGTATTTTGGTGATTGTAACAAGTTTAAATAAGGTATTGGGTTATGTTTGTGCTTTTGGTTGAGGTCCTTGGGGCCTCGAGGTGATTTTGGATGGTTAACGGGAAGGTTGGATTGTTGTTGCAGCTGTTGAATTGCTGCTTCTGGTATTTTCGCACCTGCGGATTGGGGACCGCAGGTGTGGCGCCACATAACCGGAGATTTGGTCGCAGAAGCGGAAGAGGCTTGAGGAGCAGGGCCTATGTTGTGAGGAAACACTGATACTGATTTGAGGCCGAGGGCCTGAGATATGTATGCCACGGATGACTTGTTATTGCGCTTGGGCCGTAAGGGGCCCCTTCAGGAGTCTGCACACCCACAGTGAGTGTGGGTACCCATTGTGATGTGAGATTGAGCCCGAGGAGCTGGTATGGTTCTAAGATGTTGCCTGAGGGGAGGATTTGTTGATACTGTGCCCGAGGGGTGAACTTCTATTTGTTTACTTTACCTTAACTACCTATCTACTTGTTGAAAAAGGATTTTTCTTAACTTTTCACTGGTTTACTGCTTTTAAATGGTTTTACTGCTTCATTATAGAATGCCTTGTGCCTTACGTGTTTTCTTACTTTCAGTCGTTATTTAAATTTGTTACTCACTGAGTTGGAGTACTCACTTTACTCCCTGCACCCTGTGTGCAGATTCAGGCGTAGTTGGTCCCGCTCCCGAGTGCTGATCTTTCCAGCTTCAGGCAGACATTTGGAGTTCATGAGGTAGCTGCCTGGCGTCCGCAATCCCGTGTTTCTCCTTCCTTATCATTTCTATCTCTTTTCAGACAGTTGTACTAGTTTATAGACTTAGCGGACTTGTATTATGACTTATAGATGCTCATGACTAGTGACACCCCGGTTGGGGCTGTGTATGAGTGTCCTTCCACATATTTATGGCATTATTTGTTATTTCGGATTTATTTTATCATGTTTAAACTGTTCTTAATGCATAACTGTTAATAATTAGAAAATGGGAAGTGTCGGCTGGTGTCTTCACGAGAGGCGCCATCACGATCGGGTCTAGATTTAGGGTCGTGACAAGTTGGTATCCGAGCCTAGGTTACATAGGTCTCACGAGTCATGAGCATGTTTAGTAGAGTCTCGCAGATCAGTATGGAGATGTCTGTATTTATCCTCGAGAGGCTGCAGAACCTTTAGGAAAAACTTCACATCCTTGAAATTCTTGTCGTGCGAACTTGTTAATCCGTGAGCTAAACTTCCTTTATTCTATTCTCTCACAAATGGTAAGGACACGCGCTACCGGACAGGATGGACGACAACCAGTGCCACCAGCTGTGGCCACCAGAGGCCGAGGATGCGGTCGTGGTCATGGTAGAGGCAGAGCAGCGAGGGCAGCACCTGCACATCCACCAGCTGCCCCAGTTCAGGACCAGGTCCCAGCTATGGATGCTCCAGCAGCACCAACTCAGGCACCAGTTGTGCCCATTGTGATTCCGGGTCTTTAGAAGGCCTTGTCTTAGATCTTATCAGTTTGCACTGGCCTGGCTCGGGCGGTTTCAGCCACTACAGCCGCAACTACTTCTCAGGTCGGGGGAGGCAATCAGACTCCCGCCGCTCGCACACCTAAGAAGGTCGTGCAGGGACTTCAGATGCTGGGGGTGCATCCATCCCAGCCGGTTGCATGTGCTCAGGACTATGTAGTTCCTGTCATGCCGGAGGATGAGCATCGTAGGTTGGATAGGTTTGGTAGATTGCAGCCTCCGACCATCAGTGGTGCAGAGGGCGAGGATGCCCAGGGCTTTTTGGATAAGTGTTAGAGGATGCTTCGTACTGCAGGTATTTTGGAGACCAGCAGGGTCGCTTTTACCACTTATCAGTTTTCGGGAGCTACTTTCACTTAGTAGGAGGATTTTGAGAGGCGTATGCCTGTTGGTGCAACACCCCTTTCCTGGTAGCAGTTCTCCATTCTCTTCCAGGAGAAGTATGTGTCGCAATCTCGCAGGGAGGAGCTGCGTAGGTAGTTTGAGTGGTTGCGTCAGGGGGAGATGACCGTGTTGCAATATGAGCTGAGGTTATCCGAGTTGGCTCGTCATGCCATCTGGTTGGTTCTGACGGATCGGGAGAGGATTATGCATGAATGAATTCCCAAGTATTCAAGTGATGTTTTGTTGTAATACACTTGTTAATATAACTTGGATGACATCACTTCAATGATGTAATCACTTGGTTGGTCAAAGGGGAGTGTCTGCAGTACTGTGCTGCACTGTTTGCGTGTACAATGCAGGCAGTTACTTTCCAGCTGTATATAGTTGACTTCGTACTACTGTTAGCAAAACATAAGGAGATCAAATCCCTGTGTTGATTCTTTATCTTCTGAAGTCATAGTAACTCACAGTAGCTGGAGTCTGTTGATTTGAGTTGTGTACCAAGTGTGTCAAGTTCCTTATCTGGTCCTTTGACAGTAAGTTTGTTAGATCATCAAAACATAAAGCTAAGG